TCATCAGGTTGGTTAAGCACAACATAGCTGACAGATTCTGTATTGTTCAATATGTGCAACAGCGAGCCTGTAAATCGACATTCGAATTAAAATCGTACCCTCGGTCAGAATCACCAATTGGTAAAAAAATAGGAGAGGTGCTGAAATAATAGTGGAATTTTCTTTGGTATTAACCTGTATCACTTCTCTACAATAAACATTTCCTGACCGAGAAAAATGGCTAAAATTGAGTGAACAACCTAACATAAACTCTTACATTTTGTGAGAGAACGATTTTACATACGGTTTTCCTGCATTTTTGAAACATATATTCAAAATTTCTCTAACATTGCAAATAATGAAATTATGTTCAAGGTTAGTAAACATATCTGTAAAATCAGCAGTATATACTTTTATTCCATTATACCAAAGGTTATTGAGTTCTTGACTTATATTGATATTACTTATGACCAATATGTTTTAATTAGTTCTATTCTGTTTTGTATTACATTGCATAATTAACGAAGTGATTTTTTATGTGTGAAAATATTGTATGTAAGTTCTGTGCTAGAGGTTTTATGCTACTTATTATGAGCACCTGTAATAAATCTAAATTTAATAGGGTTTTTATGTAACTTAGGTAATGCATAAATAATGGGTAAATCTGCATCCACTATGGTATCAATTCCATTTCTAGCACAGAAAAATTTATGTTTAAGGATTAGTGTAAGCCTGTTCATATTAGGTACTATCTCATAGGTGTTATTAGTATTACTATATTTGAAGCAGTGTTCATTGCAGTCATAAAAGACACCCATTTCTTTCATTATAGTAAGAAGATAAAATTTTTTACATATTATACCATAATTATTACTAGCTTTGTCAAGTGGACAGAATATGAAGTTTTTTTGGTACTTTTTAATCAAATCATATGGTATAAGTTCTCCCATTCCTTTGATGTTGTCATACGTTAAAAGAGGTTTAATCTTATTACGAAAACTAGTCTGAAAGTATTGTTTGATTAAACTTGTTTTAGTTTCATCTATTTTATATTTGTCTTTGAAATATCCAATTGATTCATTAACAATGTGTTCATAAATGCTTTTAAAAACGGATCTTGTAATCCCTTTACTCAACCTGTATTTAGTTCCTTTTTCTAGTAGTGCTTTGAATCTACTCTCTTTAATAATATTCAAATCGCCAGTTATCACATGTCCATAATCCATATAAACAAATTCATCAACTTCACCAGAGTCACATATACATCTTGTATTGATTATGCTCTCCAAAACGTCATTGTTGATGTTTTTAAGTAGTGGGTTATAATTATAGATTTTACTGGATATTGCATTGTCATATTTATAGACAATTCTAAGAGGAGTATAATGCTTACAATCATTAGTATTGTTAAATATAATTTTCCTTATGGTACATGAGTTAAGGATTTTTCCAAAAGAAATGTCATCAAAAACTTTGTTATAAAATTTAACAGTAATATTATGAAAATTCTTGTTAAATTTTTTAAAAGCTGTAGTTGTAGTATGAAAATGCGCTAATAGACAAAATATAAGAAATCTAGTTTTTTGATTAACGGTTTGTAAAAAGTTAGGATCACGGGAAAGTTCAATAATTTTATTAAGTTCTGATTTCCGTAGTTTTTTAAAAAGTCTATAATATTCTATAGGAGTTAATGCATCTTCTTTATCTGTAATTTCATTTAGAACTTGCATGTAGTCTTTTACTTTTCTCTTCTTATTCTTTTTATTTGAACCTCTATTACTTCTACTTTTAATAACACTTAATGAAAAATAGGGTGGGTTATTTTTAATAATATTAGTTGTATTCATGTTTGAGATATTTCCAAAGCCTTTTATATTGTCGTTAAGTCCAAAAGGGAATGCAGTGTTTAATAACCTTATCCAAAATAATTCCTTTTCCGTTAAAATTGTTTTGTCATTGGTATTTATAGAATCAAGTACTGTAACTTGATTCCTTTATTACAAGTGTAAAAGTGATCATATAATGGAGTACGAATTTTATGATTAAAAATATTTCGCAAATGTTCATTGATTCGGTCTTTTAGTTTCCTAGTAGTAATACCAACGTATTGTATTCCACAATTATTACATGTAAGACAATAAACAACATTTTTAGTACAGCAACTTGTATTAGGATTTGCTATACGAATCCTTATAGGTATTAATATGAATTCCCGTAACGTTTGAAATAATGAAGCTATTTCTATTTGTAATTGTACAAACCCTACAAGTACTTCCACAAGTACGACCTTCGTTGTTATATCCGAAATCTTGTAGCTTATAAGGAATTGACTCCCCCTTACCTTACAAAATGTTGTTTTGGTGTAGTAACCCTGGTGCTTGCTTTTTTGTTGTTTTTTGACCTATGATCTAAGCGCATGAGTGGTCCAACCCATACGCAGAGAGGAGTCCCCCGAAGGTTTGGCTGGGCTGCAGCCCAGGGTTTGGCGTACCCTGTTTGTTCCCAATGGGAACGACTAGCGCTGGGGGCGCCAAAAGTTGACCCCTTCTGCCACTTAAACCAAGTACTTGTACCAACGTTGGGTTGACCCTGCTAACAGGTCTCGCTATGAAGCTCCTGAATGAAATCACATGACCGTTTTCACTCAATTCCGAAGCAAATAAACTGTTGTGTTTGCATGTTGCGATGCAATCTTTTTCTTGTAGAGCATACGAGTGTCAAGGTCCCAAATCTCATTTCCCGTGTTTTTGAAATTGTTTCTGAAGCTGTGGATGTTGACGATTTCATCCAACAAGAGGTCACAACGCAAAAGTTCAGCTGCAATTCATACTGTAGTATCTTTCCTAGAACTTAATAAGGGATAACTAAATCCTCGTCGGTTCTACAAAAGTAAATTTTCAGATTTGATCCTGCTACGAACCAGTGGTCGGATGACGTTGCTCCAACCATTCAAACACACTACTCATGTGGTGTGGCTGTACTTGACGGTTCTATTTACGTAGTGGGTGGAACTAGCACTGTTGATTGTATGTCGGCTGTTGAACGGTAGGGGCAGATGTCTCACAATCTAACTCATGTTATTATGTGGATTGTTGCTAGGTATGACGTTCGACGAAACGAATGGTTCTTTGTGGGACACATGCGGGAATCTAGAGCAGGGGTTGCTGTTGCCGTGCTTGATGGTTGTTTATACGCCCTCGGAGGACATGATGAAGGATTACAATGGAATACTGTAGAGAGGTGAGACAGTGTACATTCAAGCATGTGATTGCATGTCGCTCAAATTCCTTTGGTATTGTGGCTAGAAATGAGATTTTTCAACGAACGTGCAGAAGTTCATCGAAAAATACTCGTTTGAAGGAGTTTGGTAATTGGTTTGCGATTACCCACATTCATAGTGTGTAGAGAACTTCCTACTAAAATTTCATATTTTCACTTCGTGTCATATAACGTTCTAAAGAAGGTTACCCGCCCTGTGAGAGGGTAGGTAACTTTCTTCAGAATGCTTCGCTCATACATCCTCGCAATCCAGTAGTTTCATTGCAGAAATCATGAATTTGAGGCCTGCAAAATGGGAGATTCAGTCAACGGAAATTAGCCAAACCGACTAGTCGCTCTGACTCTATCCCCAGGAGGAATCGATTAGTGATATTCACCCTACTTTCCTTTTACTTGATCATTACCTTTTCCGAACATTCCGTTGTTGGCCATTCAAATTTGCTTTGTTCTTCTAGAACTAGATACTTAAAGGAGGATTCCACGATAAGAACGAAGGTCAAAGAAGGGGGAAATTGCTTAGTGGGGGAGACAGGCGGATCCTTGAGGATGCGGAGTTACGCGCAATTGGCAGCGAAAGATTTGATGTTTGGTGATCTAGCTTGGCTCACTCTTGGGAGTTGGTGCGGTCGGCCCATCGACATAGAGAGCGTTAGTGTTGAAGAGGGGCACGATGAGAGTCGCATCAATGCTCAAATCAACGGGCAAGGAAGGGGTACCATTTCTCGGGTTCTGGGCCGTTTCTCATGGTTCTTCCTTCTTTCGTGTACCACTCACCATCCCTAGGTTAATTTGAAATGGGTTCGGTTTTCTAATCGTAGAGCTGCCTTTACGCTCTATACCTTTGAATCTAGCCTAATTTTTTTTTACATCCGAGGCGTTGAAAATTTAGTGGAATGTTAAGAAGAAGTCTACTAGTTTGAAGTGCATGCCTGATTGATTTTGCCATGTTCTAGGGGAAATTTTTAGTTAATGTAATGTGGTCATTCTCGTGGACTGGACGTTTATCACGTAGGCCGACTTAAAGGCAGCGATTACGATAATTTAAGAAGGGTTTAGTGTGACGTGGTGGTGCTCAATGGTACGCCAGTGGCGAAAAAAGCAGAAAAATCCGTCAAGAAAACGCAAAACGGGACCCCTTTTTTGGCCGTTGGTTTTCACTCATCAACAGGTAACAGCTCAGAAAGTAGTTATGAACGAGTTCACCGCAACGCGTTTGATGGCACCATTGCCAAATCACGCTTCAATCGAGATGCTCCATTTGCGCCGCTGCTGGCCACGCAGCTCGTCCAAATCAACAAGTAAACTAGTGGGCGGATCGCTTTTGGGGGCGGAGTGCTTTCGAAGTCCTGCTCAGCAACCAGCGCACCTTTCGTCGTGAAAGCGCCACACTCGCTTCCTTGGCAGCCAAGTAACTGCTTCGTGTGGTGCATATGCTTCCCCGATGCGCTCCCTCTTTATCGTAATCGCTTCCTTTAATTCATAAGGAAAATAATAACCAAACACACGACCGAGTAGAGCAGTAAAAAGCTTTCGAAAAGTACCTGACGTGAAGAAGGTGGAGTTCCGGTAGATAAATTTCAGCTCAAAAATCGCTGTGGCTGAGCGGTCAACCGGGGGAAAAACCAAATTCGAAAAGGAACTTGGCAAGGTTTTCTCCACAATTTTAATAGTGGAACTGTTTAGGAGAGGTCTTGAATAAATAGAGGGTACATAAGTCATTGATTTCTCCCAGGAGAAAATAGAGTTAGAGCTAGTTGTTGGTTTAACCGATTCTTCGTAGACTAGAGGTCCAATTTTGCGTGTCCTAAAATTCAAGCTGATAAATCTCCTTCGAACGATTCATGATAATATGTAAAAATTTGGTATTGGTACGGTATTTGGTTGAAAAATTTCTGGTAAAAAACTGATGGTACCATCTGATTTATAATCAAATATTAAATGCGGGTTCATTTTCCAACGTTCAGATTCGACCCACGGGAAGGTAAATGGAAAGACGTTCGCCCGATGTCAACGATTCGATACTCTCTCGGAAGTGCAGCCATCGATGACTATATTTATGCAGTAGGAGGATTAAATGAGTCACACTCTCCATTGAGTTCTGTTGAGAAGTATGACCCACGCCGCAATGCGTGGACTCCGGCGCCTGCCATGAACAACAGGCGATATAGTGTGAGTCTGTGAAGTGCATTCCTTATGTACCATAGTTGATTTGAGAAAATAGAAAAAAGGGCTTTGTTTGCAGTTAGCACTTGGTGTTGTTGACGAGAAGCTATACGCTGTGGGTGGCTTCGATGGCACTGCAGAGCAGGATATCGTTGAAGTTTTTGATCCCAAGGAGAATCAATGGAAACTTCACAGTCGCATGAATGATCGGTTAGTTCAGTGTTTTTCGTGGTCCAATGTTTTGACATTTCAATGAGGCTTTAGTTTACTCAAAGGAGTTAAATTGGAGGTCGAAAAAGGGGAACATATTAAGCGTAAAGGAAGCAGGTCTTCTCAGGGAGCGGAAATAGGCGCATTTTGTTGCGAAGTTTGCTCCCGTACCTACCTAAGGCCTCGTTCATAGATCGCGATTATGCTGACAGAAAAACATACGTATCGATCTAATATTTGCTGATTACGCGATAAAGCGATTTGCGATCTGGCGGTTATGCTCAAAGGACTGGGTGCACATTGATCAAACTGACGCACGCCCAATAACCATTCGTCGATGCGATATGTCGACGATCCTCCAGTCGATACGCATGTATTCCTTTTATCATAATCGCTAAATCGCTAAATCGTCAAATCGCATTAACCGCGACCCATGAACGGAGCCTACAGGGGCTTACTCGCGGTGGTGAATTTTCTTCACGGTTGTCCACGTCCAGCGATAGGCTCCACCTGTTGGTCCATTGCCGACGGACGGACTCTAGCCGTTGAAGCATCGAGGAGAGCATGGCGTTAACGTTGACGTCAGCATCGATGAAACGCAGCACAACGCGGTCAACGGGGGAAGGGTTCCATTTCGCGTGTAGTAAGCTGTCTCCGTTTTTTCTGTACCCCTTTTCCCAAAATTTTTTCTTTCACGGCGGCATCTCACCGCACCGCTACTTTCATTCCCTACGGGCGATCAATTTATCGTAACTTCTGCTTTCTGTCGTTTTTGGCATTCGTTTTGAAAATCTACGCTTCCCCTTTTGGATTTTGACAAGAATTTATTGTTCCCTGGGCATATTAACACCCCCTCCCTCTCCCCCTGCCTGCGCTCGCTGGCTATTCTAGAGGGAGGGCGGGGTTGGGTAGGGGGTCGCTTTGGTGGAGTCTCCGATAGTGGTGGTGGTAAGTCGTATCGCGAGACTCCCCTGAAGGGAGGTAGGGGTCTTAAAATTTCTGA